AAAAAAAAGAAAAATAAAAATGTGGAAAGTTCTAGTGGCATGGTTACAAAATTACTTCTCTCCACCATATGCTCCTAAACGTGAAGGATGATGTATTTTTTCATTCTAGGAATTCAGTTGTCCTTTTTTTGTATTTATTCATATGGAGGCTATTGAGTTCTGCAATGATGGTGTTAAAAATTATCTCTGGGGAAATAAAAAGCAACACTGAACAAGTAAGAAAGGCAAGTGTAAGGAGGATAAAGTGAATTAAATGGAATTGTTAGCCAAGAGGTCAGAAACTCCACCCCATCTCCCTCATTATTAAAAAGCCCATGCCTTGAGACATCCCAGGTAATTGATCAAATATAATATTTAGTGCCTCTGTCCTACCTTCTATGTTGCTCCACAGCGTTTGAGTCTTAAAAACTCGAAAGTCATCCAAGGTACTATTGTCTCTATTTATCTGCAACAGCTAGTAAGAAGAAGATAAGGAATAGGTATAGGAAATGGAATGTATGGCTAATTGCCTCCATGAATAACTATCTTCTTTGCCATATAAGTGGATCTGGATTGTACTTGCCTATCATTATCAAGAATTTTGGACAAGATTCTACAGAAAGTTCAAATAGGTGAACTTTCAAAGTGGGATTCCAAGTTGTCATTGAATCCAGAATCTCTGGATCTACTGAGGCTAGATGAACCCCTGAAATTATCCTTGTGAGATAATTTTTAAACCTTGATCTAAAAAATCAATCAAATTTCTCCTGATGTCTTCTTGAAACTAAATAACTCATCTACTTTAGAATGTTTATGTTAGTAGTTACTAAGCTCTCTTTTACTATCAAACTATACAGCATCCAAGAGTTCTCAGTGGCATAATCTTGTGCAATATGCTGTGTGACTAATCAAAAGACTGAAGATATTAAAATCCACCACTAATGGCTCTAAGGAATGATGATAGGAGATTTCCTCTTATTAAGATTTACAGATTCATAAGCCCAATGAGAAGTTACTCTAAGGTGGAACCAACTTGTAGGAGTAACTGTTATGAGCAGAAAATATAATAGTTTGCTGTAGAACATATTATAGAGAATATCATAAATTTGTTGTGAAACAGAATAAATTTTCTGTGAAACATATTATAAACTTGTATGATATTTGTAATTTAAGTATAAAAAAATTATGAGTTTCCTAGGATAAGTTTGATGCTTAAGTTTAAGAATAAGAAATATGTTAAGAAATTGCTATGTTATAGGTTAGAAATAAGAACAAGAAATATGTTAGAAATTTGCTAAGTTAGG